TGGTTAACGCTGTTTAAGGAAATAATAGATTTTTATTCTGATAATTAACCCTTCGAAGCCGAAGCTCGCCTAAATAACATTTAAGAATTCAGTCCGTACCGCAAAGAAAACACAACTCTTCACCATTAGAATGATCAGCTGGTTAACGCTGTTTAAGGAAATAATCTTCGTTGGCACATAATTATAAGAAACTCGTAAATAAAAGATGAAGAGTTATTAATTATTAAAGCAGACGGTACATGGCCTTTAAAGGGTTAGAGAATCCAATATCAGTGATGACGCTTTCTGTTAAACAAAAGGCAAAGAATTTATTGACTGGTCGAGTGCCGATAAACTTTCCAATCGCCTTTGCCGTGACTCTAATGCTGATGTCTGACCCAGATGATCAGGTCTACATGCCTGACGAACGTCTGCTGGACGAGTACGTGCTCAACGACATTGGGAAAATCTGGGTGGGGCCCTACGGCTCCTCAAAGGGCCGCGAGTGGATATTCGGTCAGTTCGACGCCGTAGCCCTTCCTGCCGTCGACCTTATGATGAGCAGAAGCAACGTGGCCCCTGTGAACCGCGGCAACCCAATCTACGTGACCCGCGCCATATCCAAGTTGGTGAGTACACTCAAGCACACTGAGTTGTTACTACAGGCAACTCTCGGTTTACGAACGAGTTCCGTTCCAAGACGTTGTTCGTTATGTGTATCTTTCAGTTCCTATGCTTATCGTATACGTTAGCAGTAATTTTAAAGCATTAAAACTATGTACTAATTATCGTATAATAATTTTGTGATAATTATTGTAATAAATACATTTTTTAAAAGTTTATTTATTTAAATCTTACAATTATGTTTGGCATTTCTTTTTATAAGGAACTCTATCTATTGGCGACTTTAAGAAATTTTGAATGAATTTTGACGTTCGTTATATCGAAAGTTAGTAAACCGAGAGTTGCCTGTTTAAGCTGTCTTATTATGTAACCCAGCAACAGAACGAATCAATTAATTCCATTACTCATCTCAACATTTGGGCCGAGAATGTATCAGATTGTGGAGTTTCGTCATTTATACGCTTAACAAAATTTTATTAGGTTAAAAAATTAAGAATGGAGGATCATGTCGGATGAGGAAGGTGAGTTGTGCTATAAAGTTTCCATCGGAAAACCTGAATAAAATACTAAAAAATCTGGGCGTCGATGAAAAGATAATATTAAAGCCGATCAATTATTCATCGTATATGTGAGTGTGCAGACTGGGTTAATCTGGCTCAGGATAAGGTCTAGTGACGGGATTTTGTGAACACGGTAATGAACCTTCGTGCTCCATTAACGGCGGAATATTTTCTGCAAGTAGATAAAGGCAAACCGAACCGGGTGGGTGGGAATACAGAGCCGTGGCCTGTTTTAATGTGCTATCCCAGTATTCGCCGGGAGGAACTGGGTAGATATGCTAATTGATGTCCCAGTCAAGATTCGAACCGGACGTTTCCTGAGTAGAAGTCAGAAGGACAGTCAAGGACGCAAGTTTCATCGGCAATTGCGCTGTGACACGTGTCTCGAGTGGTTACCGACGTCAAGAGTTTGACCCAGAGGAGGTGGAGGATTGAGGGAGGTGTAATGAGTTCGCAAGCTGCTAAAGAACATAAAGAAACAAGAAAGGATGAAGTCGACAGCGCATGAGAATAAAAACACAAAAGAGAACAGAGAAAGAATGGTCAGAGATACAACAGAAGAAATATCTGGACCAGTGGTCGTCGTGAGTCTGCGCATCCTACGACGGATGTCAGTTTGGTGTATTTTAGGATTATAAAGTTGATTTTAAAACCGCCTATCCTACTAAAACAGACACCTTTACAGCATGCTCCACAAATACTTCACGAATGAAGCTGTCACTTTGTTCCGTCGCCTTTCCGGGAATCTCAAAATCTTATAAAATTAATTTACATGTCGCAATTTTACATTTTCGGACAGTGATTACCCCTCAGAGTTTCGAATAATTGTCACGTGGGTAATACTGATTTAAATTATAGATTATTAAGATATGGAGGTCTACCGCGACAAAATATTAATTGGAAGTTCCCGGAAAATCGATCATTTATTGGCTATTATGTTGGCATTCGTGTTTGCATCGGCGGTAAACGGGCTGCTTTGGTGAAGCCCCATCAAAGGCCAGTGGTTATGCAGCCTGTGAGGGCGCTGAAGTCTCCAGCTAATTAACAAAATGTTGAGGTCGCATAGCACAATTGTCCGCCTTGTCTGGTGTGCATTAACATCCGAAGCCAAAGTTGAGGGAAGGTTAGACAGAATAATTTCGGGGGTGGGGGGGAAGACCGTCTTGTAGTTGGAAGGTTCCCAGGCAGTTCCCGCTCGTCCTTCGGATAAGGATACATTTATTTATGGTTTTTAGCGACTCTTTTTAAAGCAAAAGCTCGTATAAATAATATTTAAGAATTCAGCCCGTACCGCGAAGAAAACACCACACTTCACCATTGCATAGATCAACTGGTTAACCCTTTTAAGTCAAAGCTCGTCTAAATATTACGTATTTAAGAATTCAGTCCGTACCGCGAAGAAAACACCACGCTTCACCATTACATAGATCAACTGGTTAACCCTTTTAAGTCAAAGCTCGTCTAAATATTACGTATTTAAGAATTCAGTCCGTACCGCGAAGAAAACACCACGCTTCACCATTACAAAGACTAACTTTTTAACGCTGTTTAAGGAAATAACAGCTGTTTAATCGGAGAATCATATGAAACCCATAACACAGAATGAAGTTCTTGATAGTTGAAGCAGGTGGGAAAGGAATTTGCTGATGATTGCAGGTAAACTCGAATGATGACTTGGGGGTGCTGCAAGGAAGATGGAACGGCAATTATGAAGACGGCACAGCACCAGCTGCGTGGACAGGATCCGTACCCATCCTGGAAGAATACCTGGACACGGGCACTGAGGTCAAGTACGGCCAGTGCTGGGTGTTCGCGGGCGTCGTTGCCACCGGTAAGACACCCAAGAAGTGCTATCGAGTGGTTAGCACTCCTGCTCTGTATTTGGCAGGTCTCGGGTTCGAAGCTCAGTCCGGATACCGGCTGTACTGACAGCTTCATCCGCTCTAGGAAAGTGCTAAGGCCTCGAAATCTTCCATCACCATCCCTACCAGTCCATCACTCACAACCACACTCTCACAAGACGATGAAAGGTAAAGTTATGCCTAGTGTTTAACTTAGCACCACGTTGTGCGGAAGAGTTCACGCATTTCTTAATCTCCACGCTCGATACAGCGGAATGGTTACCTTCACGTCCTGGCCGCATTATCCCGAGGAAATAACCCCAGTGCCACTGTACGTTGTGACGAAGATAAAAATCCTGCCTTGCCGGGAATTGAATCCCAGTATTCCAGGATGATGTAGTCTCGTAACCGTATTGACTGAGCTACCGTGGCTCCCCCACTTAAGCAAGAATTTTTAAATATTCCAAGAATTAGTCACAGTAAAGGTCAATAATATTGATACAGGGTGTTTACAACCAACCGATGTCGGTCTTCTGGGCGTTAAAACCTTAGGTGCATACCAACGTTTCAACGGAATATACTGCTTCCATCTTCAGGAGACCACGTGGCGTTACAATCCAAAAGATCGATCTCAAATATCACAATATTACAAGTCATGGCCTAAAAACATTGATTCGAACAAAATAAATACAGCCTTCAGTTGATGCTAATAAGTATCAACTTGAAAGGGTGACTTGTAAAATGTTATTTTATAAATCGCCACTTCCATCAACAAACAATTCTTTAATATGGATTTGTCGTGGAGGCATTAATACCTGTCCCCCTAGTTCAAACTTCTATTAATTTTCATCTGTGGTGTTTGTGACGTCACTGGGTCACTTGAATTGAAAATCTGTGAAGACGGAATTAAAATTTTTTACAAGCAACTACGCGTGCCGTGATCTCTTTTGAAAATTTCTTGGATTCGCATGTTTAAAGCGTATACTGAATCTGTAATTACACAAAACAAATTTTCGTCGCGAACTTAAGAGCAGAATACAATTCGCGTCCTACATCCTTAAAATATTTTTTTAACTTATTCTCCCATTAACACTTACGTATCGAAACTAGTCCCTTCTCTTCGTGAGTCAGGCAAAAATTCTGTACGCATTTCTCATTTCTCCCATCCATCTTGAATGCACGAACGATGCCATTCGTCTTAATTTCGTCATAATATTGAGTTTCTTCGAGCCATTTTTCTACGATTCAAAAATCCTCCTCAGGACACTGTCAGTTCTCTCCGAGCGACAATCTAAATACAGTCGATGCCTCTGAACTGCTTCAGTGTGTCGTGCTTTGGGCATCCCTTGCCGAGTGGTGTCCAACCTTGTATCTGCCCACGACGCCAACGCGTCCCTTACCATAGACCGGTACTACACGGCCGACATGGAGATGCTGGACTATGACCCTACAAACCCCGAGGGCGACGACTCAATTTGGAACTATCACGTGTGGAACGATGTGTGGATGGCGCGCCCCGACCTCCCCAAGGGCTACGGGGGTTGGCAGGCGATCGACGCCACCCCACAAGAAACAAGCGACGGTAAGACCCGTCCCAGTTTGTGACTTAACACGGTTAACCCTTTCCACGCTACACACGAGTTACCGCGTCACATGTTTGTAATACACAACGCAAAATATTAAAGCAGGGGTTGGAAAAAGCTTTGTGCTTGGGGCCAGATGTTGTACGTGACGGAACAATTTCTCAGAAATGACGCTAGATGGCAGAATGTTATTTCAAAAGTAATGTTACCATTAGGAAGCTTTTGGAATTACTTCTAAGGGGGGGTAAGAAATAAGAAACATATTCTGCTGAATTTTAGCTTTTCCATTAGTACAGCAAAATACCTTAGAATAAGATCACCCTGTATTAGTAATTAATTTGAGCAGACGACGAAGGTGCAGTGACCTACTTTTTGGCAAAGCAAATGAAAATAGTTACTGTGTTTGCTAGGAACCATAACATAGGAAGTTCTGTAAACATCTGGATTTCTATCTTTAGGCTCATTGCTTACTTATTATTATGGATTTTGACAGTAATTCCACTATATTGTTAAGCACGAATCAAAATTAATATAGGACGATATTTTTAATAGCATAACGCGTATTGAAACCACAGGAAATAATTACTTCAGAGAACTGCTACCGTGTGTACAACATTCACTGATCCAAAGTGGTCAAATTTCAGGGGTGTACCAGTGCGGCCCGGCTTCTGTGGAGGCCGTCAAATGCGGCGCAGTTGGTTTCAATTACGACGTGTCTTTCCTTCTGTCAACCGTAAACGCGGATCTGGTGCGCTGGAAGGAAGACGATTCCAGCGAATACAATTACTCCAAGATTGACTCCAACAAATACCAGCAAGTATTATGACTGCTTTTGGACATGAGTTCAGGGCTCAGAGTTATTCCCTCTTCTGTTCAAACTTCATTAGTCTGAGGGGGGGGGCCCTTTGTCCTTTGTGCAAAGTGGGAGAACTTCAATTCTCTCGCGCCTCCCCTTCTGCTCCGAACCTCAGTTCTTGGATTATTATTATTATTATATTTATTTAGTGTTCTGTCTGAGGACAGGTCCATATGAACAGGATCCTTCCATCCTTTTCTCGGACTGGGAACTGTTCATATACGTTCTTGGCAGATGATCCAGAAGTGGTTTGCCATTGCCTTCTTCTGTGTGTGAATGGAGTAATTGTTGGGATGCCACGGAGGAAAACTCCGTGTTGCCTAGACCACGGCCTTGCCCAACACAAGTTATAAATTCGAACCCGAGACCCCAGGATTACAAGGCCAGCGTTCTAACCGCGTGGCGTGTCATTCTGTCATATTTTGTGTTAAAGACGATAGAAAAATTTATTGATATATAAGGGATGATGAGATGATTTTCTCCATCTAGTGGCAAGATTAAGAACGCGTGGAGCTACATTTCCGCTCCTCCATACGCCTGCATATCGTGGTGTTTAGTTAAGTGCAAGGAACTACTTTATCTCTACCTTCCTGGCATGAGGGCACAACATAAATGATCACGAAGTGGAGAATTAAGAAGGAAAATAGAGACAAACATTAGGCTACGTAATTTCATGTTCATAAAATTAACTCCACGGACCTGGGATCTTCAGAGGCAAATAGCTGGTCAGATGGAAAAATAATTGCCACCCTTAGGTAACTAGAAAATTCATTTCTGTGTTCGCAAGAGCCAACCACTGGCCCATACTCTGAGTCAGAAAAATCCAATCCACATTCTCGCAGCATATCAAAGATAAATTTTAAATTATCCTTCTATCTAAGCCAATTTATCTAAAGTGGTATCTACGTTTTAAACTTGGCGACAGAAATTATTACGAGTTTCTCTCCTTTTGCGTGACTGTCAAATTAATATTCTGATAATTAAATCATGGAATGAATCTCGACATAACGTAGACAAATGGCTAAACGTAAAATGTGACGTATATTTGAATCTTTCAGCATTGGGCGGATGATCCTGACCAAGAAACCTTGGATATACGACCCCAATGGAGACAGAGACAGGGATGACGTCACAGAGCAGTACAAAAACAAAGAAGGTACGAAGAATTTCCTGTTTTCTACATTACACGTGCTTCGTATTCGGAGATCCAGGGTTCAGATACTGAATCAAAGGTCGGCTATCCTCTTTGAGGTGTTTTGAGACTTTCCTAACTCTCAAGGAAAATAATCGCTACCTGCGACAAATCACATTCTAAAGTATTAATTTATAACGAAATTCTCTCCACACTTAAGCACGTAAGACATCGAAAATTAAGATAACAGCGTTGCTTATCTTCATTCAATCTCCCGAAGCCAGTCCAAAAACGATATTAGAAATATTTTCTAAATATTCGTTTTACGTCTTGGCGTCTTAAGCAGGAAAGTTCTTCGTTTTCTGGAATTTATTGTTATTAGAAAGGGCTCACAATGACCACTGACCATAGTGGTCACTTCCTGAACCTGGTAACTAATCATCCACCACGTGTCAAACTAGGGACAACTCAGAGCCTCTGCCAAATGCCAAGAACAAGACCTGTTCAATGAAACCGACAACCTGAAGACGTGAATTTCAGCCCAGTGGTTACCCATCACGCTTCACTTACGCGGTTCTCAATTCTAGGGGAATTATTCGTCCGGAAGACGACGAAAAGACTGACTGGTTTAGTTGTATTCCATGCGTGAAGGGAATTCCCGCAAAGTTCGAAACGAACATGGAATTGCTACAACATTAGGACAATATTCAAAACAAGACACACTCTTCGAAGTTTACTCGTGAAGACCGACCACGAAGAAGTCCGCAACAGACGGTCCATCGTGTTTGTAGGGATCCTTGTCAATTTATGAGAAGTTACGTTGGTGAAGCAGGTACAGAGAGCTAAAGAGAGCTAACCGTGAGGTTCAGTGACCATAAACACGGTCTGAGAGACTGTCTTCTAGGCTGCCGTGGCTCTAATTTAAAGTACTATCCCGGCATATGCCTGGAAGGACTGAGGAATATCACGAAATACCTTAGATCAGGCTAACCAGTTTCCGATTCTGCTGGCAGACTGTTTTATTTTAACATTAGCAGTGACAGCCGGTATCGAAACCTGGACCATTCGGGAATTAGACCACCGAAACAAATATTCCTAGACCACACAGGTTTCCTAGTGGCTAGCTTTCTTTCTGGTCTAGTACTCAAAGGGTCTTCATTTCCTGACTCTAGCCAATTCCCAAAAACAACTCATACAACGTGAAATATCACATCAGGCATATAATTGGTAGATACAAACAAAACAATGCCTCGTTTTTATTGTAGTGACAATTTTCATTCTCAGGTACAAAAGCCGAGCGCCTGACCCTAAGAGCCTCTGAGAGGGCGAAGAGGTTCTACATGCTGCCCGCAAAATCGAGAGAAGACATCGATTTCGAACTCGTAAACTTGGACGAAGTGAAGCTTGGTGATGGCTTCAGTATCACCGTTAATATTCACGTAAGTTCTTGTGAGTTCCAGTACGCCCATCGCACAGAAACCCTCGTGGATTAAGAGACAGACGAACACTGTTGTGCCACGAGCTCACTAGTATTTAAGAGTGAAGAGGCTCCCACCTGCCTCCTGTTACTCTGTCCTTGAAACAACGACGTGGTTCACGATGTTAAAGACTTACGAGTACTGACAAAAGATTTCGTCCTGCCTCGAGCACAAACTAACCGGTAATTTGAGACAGGAAGTTGTCTCTTGCGGCCTGATTAATTTCTTTCTGTGTAATCCCACAGAACAGATCCGACAACGAAAGGTCGGTCCAGGCCGTTCTGTCTGCTGCTAGCATCTACTACACAGGAATAAAGGCGCACGTGATCAAGAAAGCGACAGGGGACTTCAAAGTCGGCCCCAAGGCCAGTAAGTGTTCAAGTCCCTCTCTTCAATTGCAGTAGATAATCTCTTAATCTTCACAGATGTCGGCGCAACACGGCATGACATAACAGAACACACCACAGAATCTCAGCGCGTCGCTACCACTGATATTCGATCTGATACTGTAGAAATAGGATGCGACTGTGGGGAGTGGATTCATCTGGCTCAGGATAGTGTGATCTTTCGGGTTCTATAAAAGGCGAGGAATTTTTAGACTAGCTGAGCTACTATTTAGCTGCGACATGTAGTCTCGTGTAATTCACCGACGTTTCAGAGGTGCTTACTGTTTCTACCTGATGTTGGAGGCAGCAATGACCTCTGAAACGTCCGTAATATTGTACCAGACTACACGATAGTCGAATTATTAATTATAGAAGAATGGCGTTTGTTTAATAAGGCTTCAAAACGTAAAACCAAAATGTGTGATGTGTCTTTGATTGAACACGAAGTTCTCAGGAAAAAGAAACGTGGATCTGAGAAGAATGAAATAAGTGGAGAATGCACGATATTACGTAAGGACGAACTTAGTTTATACAAGGCACTTCGTAGCTACACGAGGTTACAATGAGTCAGCCATGTGAATCGAACGTGAGAAACAGGAAATCTACCTACAAGCCTACACGGCCTCACACCCTAGAAGATCACCGTGGTCTCTGCCGTCGTGAGAACATGAAAACAAATGTAATATTTAAACCGAGCAAGTTCGCTCGGCGGTTACATCAAGTAGGGAGGGGAGAAGCTAGTTAATTTCTGAAAGACGCATTTCCCGTAAAATTTTCTGCTATTAAACTTATTCCAACCACTGTAACCGAGATAAAACGTACAATACATTCCCTCAAATCACAAAAAAAAAATCATCAGGTTATGATCCAGTAACAAGAAAATATGTTTAAAGTTTTTCAGGTTTAATTACTCGCCAATTAGCCAACATTTGTGATGTAATCACTCACTTTAGGCAGCCATTTTCCCAGACCGTCCTAAAATCTCAGTAGTAAAACAATCTATAGGAAAATTTCAGTATTTTAATTACTCTTTTCCAAAATACCTGAGAAAGTTACGTGCAACAGGTTTAAGCCATCAAATGGTTACTATAACAAAATGTTGGTCCCAGGGCAATCTGGTTTCATGAAAGGCACGCGCACTTAAGACGCGGCACAATGTGTTACTAAATCACTTTTTATGGCATTCAAGGGACAGCCTCAAAATGGCTCAGATCCTGTCCTAGAATAAAATCCCCTAATGACACTCTGAACATTTTTCTTTAAACTGGGGAACAATAGAGCCCAGGGGTCAATTCTAGGGCCTTCCCTTTCCATAGTGCACGTAAATGCCCTCCCTCCAAGAATAAATAATTTATCAAAACACATAATATTCGCTGACGTCATAACTTATACGAAGAACTCTGATGAACTCTGGACAATGTCAACCAGAGTTCTCCCTCAGATGAGAAAATGGTTCACTGGCCCTAAATCTAGATAAAAGAAAGAAATGTAACAAAACTTATAAAAGATAACTCACCACAAAACATGCCTTAGGCATTGGTTACATTGAAGGGTCATTAAAACAAAATATTTTGGTTTACAGACTGAAAAATCATATTCATCAAATGGCTCTGAAGTTAAGTGGAACCTGTTATGGAGTTGGATGCATTTTGCCTGTTCTCACTCCATGATGAAGTATGGAATAATTTGTTTGGTGGTAATTCACTTTTAATGTTTGGCGTCAAACCCTAAAATTCTAGGATTAGAGATCTTACTTCTTCCCTGTGAATAAATATTCTCATTAATGAACTTCACTCTGAACAACCAAGAACATTTTCCAAATTCTGCTGCACAATTTTGACACCTGAAATAAGCAACAGGTTCACAGGCCAACCATGCTTTCAGAAAAGTGCATTCTTTGCCAGCATCAAAATTTTCAACAGTCCGCCATCTTGAGAATAAAAAGTCACAATTTAAAGTTGTATTAAAAATGTACTTAAGCACACATTCACTTCACTCTGTTGACGAATTCCTAAATGACTCATAATGTTTTCAAAAGTTTTCTTGCCTTTTATAGTATAAATGGGTAATATAATTTATTTGCTTTGAATGGGTGAATTTATTTGAAACAATTCATTACTTTATGTGGTTTATAACATTTTGAATTGATCTTGTATATACTTGTTGTGTTTTTATGAATTACTCCACAGCCTATTGTAATATAACCAAAGGATCCATAAATTATAATAATATGATTGTATAATAATAACGCAGAGATGACAATAATGTTAATAATTATTTAAACGAAAATACTGTTTTGTGTAGCAATATCATCTCGTTGCTCCGCGATCACGTGACAGTGGCAGCCATTACTGCAGCTTGAACGTTGTGGACGTGTCAATATGGCGAGTAGAACCGAAAATTCAACGTGTGCTTAAAGCCCTCTTAATTCCCGGGAGCGTCGCTTAATAAATATTAAGTTACTGTTTCAAAAGTTTACATTACATTTACATCGAATCACTGTCAAAATTGACTGTAAGGTAGTTCCGCCACTGTAAAATTCTCTCATTAGCCATATTGCCTACAAAGGGAATCATAAAAGTTGTATGTACTTACATGATGCAACAGCCATTAGTCTTCTGTTAGTGATGGTTGAACAGCAACACACTTAAAAGACTCCTCTTTAAAACGCACATAACACAATTACATAAACTCGTATTTATACAGACAAACAACACAATAAACACACACAAATTACACCAATTTTATGCACAACATTCACAAACATTAACCCATCGCAAACGGCACGCCACGTCCGAACAGTACAACAAATGACTGTCAACACACGTGACTTACTGCAGCGCCTCTATAGAAAGGTACAACAAAACACTGTCAGTTGTAACAGCGACAGACTTACCAAGATATCGTTCCATTGGAACGTACAGAAAGGAATGCAAGTAAAATTGAGGTAAAACCATGAGACTATAATTGGATACTAAGTCACTCCCTCATTCCAAGATCACTTGAACATCGACATGTCCACTTAATAACACGTAATAGAACACTGTATAAATGTGGAAATCTTCGCAACGTTCGTTTACGGATAAAAGCCAAAGTTATACATAACAGATTTCAATGGAATTTCGTATTCGCGTTCAGAATTTGACGACCAACTTTAATTTTTGTTCTCAATAGTTTGATATTTCAATTCAAATTTATTATAAACTGCACAACGTATCCCACCGGCAAAGTTTCAAGGTCAGAGATTAAGTAGATAACTTAGGGCTAAGGGTGTGGCAATGTGCTGCTTGGTTAGGGCGACCGCACACCTCCTGGGGCGGGGGGGGGGGGGAAAACAAAAAAAAACAAAAGAACTCCCACCACGAATCTCTCACTCGAAGACACCCTGAATTGAAACCGGGTGACTACAAAGGAAATTCGTACATGACATAAATATGTATCTCACAAGGAATAGTGAGATTTCATGTTCTCACGGCTGCGAGTATGAAGATTTCTGTCTTCTGGGTTGTTGCGCTGTGTAGTCTGGTCGATGTTAACCAACGTTTCGGAGGTCATACTGCCTCCATCATCAGGGCGTTGATGACTGATTGTTACCGAATGTTATCTGCTTACGTATGTGAGTACCAGCTACTGTTTTGTCGTCCAAACAGAGGAAATGCTCCGTCTCACTGTCAAACCGGAGGAGTACCTTGAGAAGCTGGTGGAGTACTGCAACATGAAGATCTACGCTATAGCAACTGTTGTGGAAACAAATGAGACTTGGGGAGAGGAGGATGACTTCCAGGTGATGAAACCCAACCTCCAAATAAAGGTAAATTAACTTAACGCAACTTAACCTTCAAACCCCAGCCTAAAACTTATTTTAACATTCGATAAAAATCTGCATTTCGCCCACAGATGGGTTTCTTACGGTTTTCAGAACAAACAGCGATCAATTCGCTAAACAGCATCGACTAATAAATATTTGCAATGGATACGCGATGTGTTTTCTTTGAGGTACGGACTGATTTTGTAAATATTATTTACATAAGCCTTATTGTACCCTTACCATAAGGACAAGCGGGCAATGCTCATAGAGTGCTTGAGAAATTATTTTTCTTAATATCGTTCTTAAATCTGTCTCTACGTCTTCGTAGGGTCAGTCATTGATGATAGCAGAAACGTAGCTCTGGCAGATGGAGGTTAGGATCCTCACCTGCTGACAGTGGTCTTGTAGGTGGTTATCAATGTTTCAGAGACCTGTAAGACCTGCGAAACCTCAAATCTCAAATTGGCTGTTACAGATAAATGGAATCCCCGTTGCGCAGAAGCCATGCGCAGTGAGCTTCAGTTTCCAGAATCCGCTGAAGAAGGCCCTAACCGGCTGCATATTCCAGTACGCGGGTCCAGGCCTCGTGAAAAATACGCCGATACCTTACAGGTACATCCCTGCAGGGTCACTCCAACTGAACTGTCTCCAGGCGTAGCTGGATTGACTCCTGACAGAACAGTCACTTTCTAGATGCGTTTGAATCCCTGCGGAACGCTTATTAAACCGCTCCGTCCGTCTATACCCATGAAACAAATCGAGAACGGATTTTCATTAAATTTGTACGTTTCGGAGTCACTAAAAATGTTGCAACACATTCCAATTCCCGTTGAAATCAGACGAAAATAACGGGCTCTTTACATTAAAATCTACACGTGTTTCCTTGGTTACCAAGGTTATAGTTTTTTAAGAAAACGCTAGAATTTTCTATTTGTTTACTCTGTGATTTACGTGGTTGGTTAGGGAGTTACACGTCCACAAAGTCACGCAATTGATCGCTGTCAGTCACTTTATTAGGTGGTTAAATAGTCTGTTAGTTAGTTATTTTGTCAGTCATTGAATCAGAAGTTTGTTACTTGTAAAGTGAGTTAATTAGTCAGTGATTTGATCTGTTAGACTTATTAATGAATTATTCAGTCAAAATAGTAGTCAGACGCTTTGTTGATTAGCCACACGTATTATAACAGATGCGATCAACACATCCATGTGGAAACCCAATAAAAGTTTCTATTTCAGAAGTAATGTTAACTAGCCATTTTTGGTTTTGTCCAGAGATATCCAGCCAGAGGAGGAGGTCAAAGTTGAACACAGCTTCATACCCCAGAGAGCCGGCAGACAGAAACTTGTGGGTACATTTTCATCTAAGGAGCTACTGGACATCACTGGATCTGTCGAGATTGAGGTGGCTGAAGACGAGGAATAGTCGAAACCACGACAGAGCCGAAAACAAAATCCTTAGTTTGAACTTACCACGATTAATTTGATACAAATCAATGTTTGTCCAAATTTAATTCACACCTAAATATTTAAAAGTAAAACTGAACAAAAACATTCATTTTCCCCATTCATTGTATAAAATTAAATTGCCTAAAGTATTTATCTCTACATTTTTTATGAACAACAAAACATAACTTACGACGTCACCTGATCTATTCAACTCTGCACCCCCCAAATATATTTTAACGTCGCACGTAAACGTCACTTCAGAACTGTGGATAATTTAAATGTCAAGTACTCTATTACAGGGTGTTCAAAAACAATTAAGATACACTTTTTCGGTCTTTATTATTACGTACATTCTAATTAATTAGGATTATTATCATGTCTAGAGTACCCACAGTCTAAACCAGAGACGTGTCTACTCAACCGCGTTTAATATTATATTATGGAGTTTATATTCTAAATAATTATGTAATGGAGTTAATGTTGATGTTATTAGTATGTAACTTATTTCAAGTTTTTTTTTTAAATAAGTTCATATACCTCTTCACGTTATCAGAATATTCAAAATATTACGCACAAACCAAGACCATAAATATTTCTGTACTTCGGTGGGGCTAAATTCCTGATAGGGACAGAAATTTCTCATATGTCGTCACCGTGTTTAGGGCTCGTCCTGGTACCAAGGATAAGGACCTGTGGAGCTTTGTCTCTACATCTTGTCTTAAAGGCGCCATATTTACGTACTACAACAAATTCACTTTTAACATTTCAGTTGCAGGTAGACCAACATCAAAACAATAAATATCCACAGTTACATACTTTTTTCCCCCTTTAAGTATATAGTTACGTAGTTTTAATTTTTTTTATTTTAAAAGTCTTCGACGTAATTTAAGAAGTTTAATATCCAACCCATTTTGTTATTGACATGGCTCCAGTACGTACTAAGAGATTATATAATATAACATTTAATTAAATGAATTCTTTGAACAAATTAAGTAACTTTTTGAAGTACAAATACACTTGTAACGTACGGACTACAGTTTTTTTGTTTTTAATTTTATTATCCCAAAAATTTTAATCCTACCGGCATTACAGCGACAGTTGTATTTTAACTTTTTTAAAACCTAAATTACGTCTTGACATTCTAAATGTTGTACACATTACATAACCTTCAGATTGAAATGATGTAACACATACAGCAGTTAGAAATTTAATACGGGATTTAAGTTTTAAAACTTCTCAAATCCAAGTTAATGAATGAAATTATTAAAATCTGTGCGGTATAAAATGGCACAGACTATTGCTAAGATTGAGATTAACAAGAAATCTTGTAGGGCACTGACTAGATAATAGAGTCCAGTCGTCAAAAAGTCTTGTCTTCACTTTACAATTTCTTGTCAGCTCTCAAATCTCTTTGTATTCTAATGACTGCCTGAACCATTTTCTTCTGGGTCATCCCACGTGTTTCTTTCCTTCAAATTTTGATTCTAATACCCTTCTCGGTACAAAACTTGTATATAAACGAGTTTTCAAAACGCAAAATGCTCTTTATTTACAATAAACTTTTCCAAGAATCCCAAATAAACTGCATTAAACTTCTTTTTTATCAAATTATTGCGTCTGTATAATAAAATTTTCGCTGTTGATTTATCATTATAACAAATATTCTGATACAAAATATAATAAGTATTCGATGTTTTTTTGCAATTAAATTATATAAAAAAATTAGTAGGGCAAAACCTGTGGGCCTTAATATGAAAGTGTCACGTTTGAAATTAAATATTAAATAATACCCACAAACTGTGACTCAAACATTCATCAGCTGGCAATTCTCGACTTTTACAAGAAGTATCGTCCAACTAGATGGGGCGCCGCTCCACTTACACGTGGCTTTTAGGAACTACCTGACCGTCCCCGGAGATGGATCGGTCATGCAGGAGCCAATGACAGCGCGAGGCGCACATATCAAGTCTAACCTCAAACACGGTAGCAATAAATACCTGAAACACGCTGCCAAATGACATCTTCAGTCCTCGTATAACACAACATGGACGTTATCACGGTAGCAATAAATACCTAAAACACGCTGCCAAATGATATCTGCAGTCCTCGTATAACACAACATGGACGTCATGTTAATCTATTAACGCATTTTCATTAATAGAAGCATCGTGTAAAGTGTGTGTTATATTAGACTCACATAACCTAAAATTAAATTTAACTGACAGATTTCCAACATTAATTTTTTTCCAAATCCATCCCAAAACATGCGCTCACTTTGTACACATCGCTCTTAACGGTTAATGTGAGCTGTCTGCGATTTTTTTAAATCTGTCCGACGGCTACGTATTTCCATGAACACCAAATACAGGCCTAAGTTACCACGCACAAAGTTCTTGTTAAATTTGTTGGACACGCAATTTCTATTAACGTTGGCGCCAAAACACGTTTTCACATCCAATATACCAATTCCTTACATTGTATGCCATACCTCATAGATGCCCAGCATCAGTAATCTCCGATATTAACGATGGAGACTTCGGATCACCACACAACTGCTGAAAGAAGTTAATAACACAGCACAATCTCCACATAAGACTCATAAAACAAGGGAAAAAATCTTGGAATAGGAACAACGGTAATATTATTAAAGGAATATGTAACCTTCTTAGCGTTTACACAAATTCAATATATATTTTACCTTCAATATAAAAGTAATGACAAGTGGTAACTGAATGATCTGTAAAATAAATATTTTAAAAGTCTCTAAATGTAAATAAACCCTAATAATATTACATTAAATGTTACAATACTGTACATTTCGTAATGCAAGATATACAATTATATAACCGTCTGTTAATTCAAAAACTGAAACCTTGAAAGATACATGGACACGCACATTCCGAACGTTAATGTGTCCATATTTACTTATAATGTTAATTACTGATAAAACCCATCTACACCTTGCTTTACAGTCACAGGCAGTGAATTATTAAAATATGTATATTAGTTAATGGCTACCAAGATCCATTTAAAAAAAAAATATTTGAAGAGAAAGGGCAGAACTGTTCGTACATAAATGTATTTATATTAACGATACATACGAGCACTGAAGCTCTTTGCGGTAATACAAGGAACTTTGGTACTGCTGTTTTACAATCAATCTGGCGCCTAAAGTACAACTTACCTTGAAATTGTTCTAAAACAACTAATTTTACTCCTTCCGTATATAAAATCCTGATATGGGACAATAAAACAAATTAAGAAATTTGGATTCGCTAGTTTGGATAACAAACAAGGTCCACTGCCAATAATTTAAATTCCAGCTTAAAACTGTAAGTCCAAAATCCACAAAATTGGACTAAGACAAAAACATAGGAATTCTATCGCATTCATTTGCAAAACTTATAGAAATTCAAAGATTTTTAGCTTTCGTACAAGATCCGACAGCAATACCTTAAGGTTCTGAATTGTTATTGAACAGGAGTGTGTGTCTGCGGTATAACTCTTCACTCAAACCACGACGGTTACGGCAATGCAGCAAGAATTTTGGCAAAATTTTAATTGACAGGATGCCCCCTCTTGTAGACATTCTGTTCGCACGCCAGAATACAATTTGTTGACGAGTGATGAAGTGCCCTTCCACCTAACTGGTGCAGCGAATAGACAGAAATTTTGTTACGGGTCCATGGAAAATCCCTGAGAATTTCATCAGCGGTATTTTCATAGTTCGAAGGTCACTGCGTGGCATGCTGTGTTTTATCTAGGATAATTGGAAATTATTCTTACAAGACGTCAATGGACACGCCGTCACAACCAATGCAGAGCGCTACACCAAAATACTATTTTTTGCCACCAAGGGTAAACCGTCTACCTCAGCACGGAGCTTTGTAGTTCCAGCAAGATGGGGCCGCAGCCCACGCTCCTGCTCACACGATTACCATTTCTATAATTCGAAATTACTCCCATAGCATGTGATTTCATGATTCGCAGACGCGATTTTCATGAAATAATAATAACTGAAATTATGTATCTAAATAATTAATAATTATAATTCAGATCTAACCTGAAAATCAAATTAACGCTATCACTCCAAAAGTAATTTAATTCAAAAACCATCCGGTATTTCTGCCAGAACCTGTACAAGATTCCACTAATAATTTCTGACGTCTAAAGAGTTCCACAGTCGAAACTCTGGGACACGATGCTTCGTCCAAAAGTAAATTTGAAAGAAGCCAACAAGCATAGTCATTACAAGCTTCAATGAATCATGAATAATGATAAATGATAATATTACTCTAACAGCACCTGCATCTTAGCAAGGTACCATTAACAACTGCACGACCTTCGCCTGAAAGATCAAAAGTGCAACGTACTTGTACTAAAGCTACTAGCTGATATCTATGACTGTACTCAGATCCATTATCTACACAATAAAATGTTAAATGTTACAGAAAACGACGGTAGGATACGCTACGTACATTACAAAATAATGAAGAGAGAAAAAAAAATTCGCGTAGCTGCCACAAAACCTGCACAACATTAAAATAAGTCACAGATATCCGACTTGCTGAACTAGCGTAAATAAATCTCTCTTGTGAAAAGACCACTCACATAAAGGAGACAGAGGCACATCACTACGAGGACTAATCAAAACTGATGAAGTAGGGTATCTAACGGCTAAAATACTAACAGCGTTATCACCGCCCATTAACCTCGACTCTTGTACGGGACACAAATTTTCCCACGAATGAGATGACAAAGCAGACCACATTTTTCTTTTTCAAAAGGTACTTGTTGACAGACCTAAAACAACTTTGACATGTTCCTCACGGCAACTGAAAATTGGGCCTAAAAAGATGCCAACACTTCCCTCGGATCAAGTAACAAATGAAACACCACAGTACAGTGGTTACAACACCCACTTCATATCCCTGCATTCCCAGGTTTTAAATTTAATCTATAGAACAGCTGACTTGACGGAGGCATTTGGGCTTTTCCTCCGTCCCTCCACGCAGATGTCGAGGCAGTACCTCAATGTAGCCCGTGACCACTTCTTTCCATGATAATACTTCCTTGTGGCGCTACAAAACCTGCGCATCAATCAAAAATGAATATAACAAAGTCATCTGGAAACACAGATGACAAATAAGACTCGACACTTCTTCGACCGTATCAGTTACGTAGCATACCAAATGGTACAATGCTTGTTTGAACGACGATCACAGAGTATTTGGAAGAAGTGGTCATGGCCTATTTGGAATTAGGTTACTAGCATTTGCTTTAAGGAACTGAGGAAAATCTCACAACAAAGCCTTCCCAGGAGACATGCCGTGTCAGTGCGGAGCAAGTTTCCATCAAAGCGCCCCTTACGATGCAAGGAGAGCAGTCTCCAAAACAAAGGAAACTCATTCCATACTTACACTGCCAAATGCCTGAGAACTCTTCAATGCAGTCACGATACCTGGCCGTCAGGCCATAATTAATACCTGGAACCTCCCAAATATGGTGCAAAAATGGCAACCATTTGAGCACGATGTATGGTATATTAAATTAAAAATTAAACAAAACCGTACAAATTCAATTATATAAGACACGCGGTTCTCAATTTTTAAATGTCTGCATTTCTCAAATAATGTCTACAAGAAAAGCTGCCCCCTTAGCGTAATTACAACGATGCCAAGAACTTTAAAGAACCATTTCAGACATAAAGACTCCACAGAAATGACCAGCCCAATTCAGGCTTCAGTATGGTTTCTCAAACACACGTTTGAAGTCCATTAGCTCAGGGATTCTCAACTTAGGATCCGGATCTGCAACGACACCTTCTCATCAACGTGCACACCACTAGGATATAAATTAGATCGATTTACTGAAACCCCACACAAGTTTATTAAAAATGAAAGCAACTTTCTATTGAAAAGTTTTTTCTTTTAATTTTCTATTTGTTATTTAGACTAATTAATCCCTTAAAATTAAATAATACGTAAAACAAGTGGTAATCATCTTTCACTACACGCACTGACACTTACAAAAATTTAAGCAAGCCGCACAACAGACACCAGCGGATCACGCGTTGCCCGTGGGATGTCTATCGAGAATCCCTGTTTTTCGTAATTGAGTAATGTTTTGTAGTGCTGACAAATGCCCATAGAATCATCCCATATACAGCCTACGTTAAATTATTCATACTTCAAACATCGCCGCACAAAAGGAGGCAAATATTGGTTATCGGAAAGAGACGGATAAATATGTAAATGAAAACGGAATACTGGAGAGAAAATATCTGAACTGTCTGACACCATTGTGAATATAAGAACACCACAACAGCAAAATAAAGCACTAAACTTGGCAATACATTTTGGTCCATCCTGTAGATGTTAATATTAATCATGTTTTAACCAATGTGAATATAAGAACACCACAAGAGCAAAATAAAGCATTATACTTGGCAATACATTTTGGTCCACCCTGTAGATCAGGGGTGGCCAGCCCGCGGCCCGCCTTGAACATTTTTCCGTGCCTCTTAACAAAAAACTGTCAGTGTGACTAGAGAATAACCAGTTAATGAGACAAGGTAAAAATGCTGCCAGCGGCCATTTCTCACCCAAAGTCTCCTGATTCACTGCTAGATGGCAGTCAAATCAGGATTGAGTAGAAATTGCGGACTGGTCACTCACTACTTCCCGCACAACCAAGAAACCTCCGTAAAGGAGGCGGCCAGACTGGTCACTCACTACTTCGCGCACAATCAAGAAACCTCCGAAAAGGAGGCGGCAAAAATCCCACAACACGGTTGTAGAGCCGAGAAACAACAAATGCTGCCAGTATAAAAATGTATAACGATTTACAAATAATATAATAATTATTTTCATAAGCAAACGTCAATCCCTATAAGAAAATTATTCCCAACTGAAAATTACCTGACACGCAGGATGAACTCATACTACGAAGGTAGTTGAACATGAATCAACGGCATCAATTACGTATCGCGTTTAAGACATACAATTCACGTGATCTAATTAAAAACAAGAAAGTACATAACTGTTCTAATTAAAACTGTAAACACTCATCCCATTGACTGGCATCTGTTTCTAAGTTCCAGAACACAATTTTAAAAATTGCGTTGTGTAATACAACTACTGAACGCCTCCTTAAAAATAAACCTTACTTTTCAAATATAAAAATGAAGTCCCCTATTAACACAATGCAATGCTGGGTAGTTGAGCTCGCACAAAAATTATTTTCTCACGCATATCATCAATAAGCCAATGCAATTCATCGTTATATCTATTTTATGCGTAACAGTTTCGGCAAGCAAAAAATCGTTTATATTTATCAAACTACAAGCCCCAGGAATTACATACGGTTAATCAGTAATCACCCTACCAGAACATACCAACAAATAGGCCATGATAGTCGAAAGCTCAACGAGTATCAGAGACAAACTCTCAAGTTAAATATCGCGATTCATACGACTGGTCCTCCTTATTAAAATGTAACTCTTAGAAATTAGAATAATAAGAAAATGGATCTGCCTGCTACGCGCAGTTTACGGAATTACACAGATTACGATTCCTAAAAATACACAAAAATTTCCTGAAGTGATGACAATAATGACTGTAAGAACTAGCGCACTGAAGTTCATTTTAGTCAAATTATTGGTTCCACAGTCAGCCTGAAGAGTCAGCACAAGCAAGAAACAGTAATCATATAATTACATTAAAAACTCACTTCATCGACGTAGTATCCAACGGTCTGGAGACGTGGCAGTGTAATTAATTTGCACCAACATGGTTCTGCACCAATATCATTGAGCTAAGAAAATGGTCATATAAAGTTTTTTTTTCTGACCACACGAGAATAAGAGGCATCATAATCTAGCAACGACACATATCGATCCATCGCACATAAAATTATTCCGCGTCAGTAATGAAATACTGAATCAGAATTCTCTCCCTCTCTCGAAATCACATCTTTTCCAAAGAAATTACCACCGCAAATTCTAAAAACACAACCTACGATAGACTGCATAAACACAATTCTAATAAAACATAGAAACAGTAACATTAAACAGTCCGCATAGCTTCTAGTATTTCCTCAGTTACACACGCACACAGTTAAACAACTGGCCCTGTTTTTTATCGACACACGTAACGTAAAAAGTCGCGTTAATCTGATTTGTGCACGCTTCTCCCAAAATTAACAAATAAAGACTCTGCGGTTACTTTCGACAGTACTTGACAACAACAACACACGCGGTCAGTAACTTTGCGTCCGCAGTAACATACGGCGATTTATTATTGAACGCTTACGGCCAGCTCATTCCCCATCATTTTACTTATGGGGTACCTCAAAAAGTACAGACGAAATCCGCATACAATACGTGAACTTCAAGAAAATATTCAGGAAGACGTAAAGGTATTCCCCCAGCACGGCGTCAACGTGTGAACCAGAGCATGTGCTCGTACTGTAATGCAGATTTACGAGCTCAAGGGGGAATATTTCAAATGCCCCCTGTGAACCAGAAAATTTTTCTTTCCTCTTATAGCAGACGCAGTAGTTTGTGGCCGGTGGAGAAGCTAGCGGAGCTGGCGGACAAACCTACTCTGTGTACTTGAGGAGGCAAGGTCATTGTAAAGCTGGCGGACAAACCTACTCCGTGTACTTGAGGAGGCAAGGTCATTGTATTTTTGTTTGGGCGTTCAGTCCGATAAACTCCTCGTCCTTCCTGGAGGCAGACGAAACGTTATACTATCGTACAAGTGACTCGTTCCTAGCCTTCCCCTTGAATATTCCGCCGGCCAAAATCTATACCATACGTGCAATAGCCCTTTTTGCAGAAAGAGATACAGAGCTGTCTGAAATGTGGCAAAAAACAAAAAAATCAATCCCATATATTTTGATGGGCTGGCTACAGCTGTTTTTAAGAAGGGTTATAAATACGAATTCCACTTTCATATAATAAAAACTTCTCATGTTAAATTCAATCAAAATCTACGCAGTGGTTCGACGGATGAAATGTGCGACAATAAACATGATTTATCAATTAAGCTTAATGGACTCAATTCAAAGAAAATGTCGCGTATGTTCATCATTTATTATCTTCTTAAGAACATATTTTGTATTAGTATTTATTCATGAATGTGGCCACTTAATGTTTACCGACTATTTTCCCCCCTCTCGGTCCGTCTGTAAACATTTCTTCAAAGACAATTACGATATAGCATTCTAGTCAAAAAACAAAGACTCTGAGCTTCGTATAGTAACGGAGGTCTGAACAAAAATATAGAGCTAGATTTTATTCTTCTACGTTCTTCATGTCATCACTTCGGACAACTTATTATAGTATCAAAATGTTTCATACTGCCATCTCGACGATTTCCAAAAAAAAAAAACCATTATGAGATATGATACCCTGCTACCTGCAAAGCCACGTTGGAACATAAAAAATTACGCATCCGTTCGAATTCACAACACTTTTACCGAAGTATTATATTTATGGAATCTAAATATTAAAAGTCCCCCAGACGTACAGCAAGATCCCTCTAAAATGCCCAGCATCGTAAAAGGGTTAATCAGAAGACAAAAGCTCTTCAGTCACGGTCAATCCACAGATAAATTTACGGAAGTACGAGAGTAAGAGTTAACGTCCCAACATCTACAACTGGTTTTTGTAAAAGGTTGTGCACAGTACATCAGCAATCAACGTCCGCTACGATGATTAATATTAATGCGTTATAGAATGTTGCTACAAATCTAATGTCGCTATAATTGTTACTGCAATTGCTACTTATGAGAGGAATTTTGAAATGACAGAGAGAGAGAGAACAAAATGCAAAATATAGGCGTATTAAAAAATAAAGCAACCATTTTAGTCACTCACACAATTTTCCTAATTGTGTCAACATCTTTGAGAATTATGATCGCAAACCAATTTTAAATACTAACGTACATTATAGTAATGTATAGGCCAATAAAATTAATGTCGCATAATCCAAAATGATCAGAGAAAAGAATTAATACATCTGATTCTGAGCTCCAATACCAAATTGCAACAAATTCTGTCATACATACAAACGTATCTTTTAAAATATTACTTTACGGAACACCAAAATGTTTGTGCAAAATGGCTGACCAAACCTAAAAATCTTGTTGTTTTTGGAACGCGCCATACGGCAAGCTCGCCGCCATTTGTAACTGAATCCACTCTTACCTTACTCAGTTTTAGTTATGTACCGTTCTGGAATTTGTCTTACTCCTCTTCTGAAGACGTTGAAGACGTGGAGGAAGCTAAAAATTTTCTCTTGCTCCGTGGAGTGAAGAAGCAGGCGTTCCATGCAACGGCATAGTTCTGAAATATGACCAATCACAGGTCATGTCTCTATATTAATTGTTCTAATCCTATTTAACCCCATTTTAAAAGTCTTTATTTTATAAGGGAGGTTAATTATAGAATTAAACCTACAGCTGACTTACGAATTGACAGATGACGCTTGGTCATCACGGCACAAGAGATTTTTGTACTTTGTATGGAGAGATGGGCGTGTCCACTTAATAAAGTACAGTTACAAAACTCTTGAGTGGTGAGAGATCTTAAAAATCATCAAAATTTTACCGAGGAAACTTTTTCAAAAATTGTAAAACAAAACAGTAACAATGCAAAATCTACATCTGGCTTCCAAAAACGGAACAGCCACAAAACAGATGAAAAACACAACTCAAC